TATTGAAAATGAAAAGATACCGTTCAGTTGTAATTAGTGTTGCCATTAACTCGGTTTTTTTGAAAAAGTGACTGATGCTGTGCGTGTACATATCGTGTAAAAATAAGTAGTTTATATGTAAATTTTTAAGCATATAATCATAAACATTAATTTGTTATAAATTTAAATTAAGATGTCTTCTTTGTATTTTATGGCGATAACGATTTGTTAATTATCTAAGTATTTTGCTTACAAATATATTTAAATTTCAATGTACTCTCGGAATATTTTCTATAATTTTTATTAAATTTTTATTAACATCTTCACTTATGAATGTATATATTATATATTTCATATTTAGTAAAATTTTAGGTGAAGTGATCACACATAGTTGATATACGTATCCATAGATGATATATGAGTACAATAATATGCAATCTACTACTCATATCATACAACATTGTTATTAACAAAAGTTTGCATGGCGAAAATAGGAAAAATTAAATATGGATAGGCAATAAATAATTGTTATTTTTCTACTTATCTAATATAATATTAATTCTATATATTTTAAACAGTTCACTAGTTTATTCTCATGTGTTATTAAACAGGAGCTTTTTCAACGAGCTTAAACCAATATCCACATTCACAACGTCGTGGAGTTCCTTCATGTAACCACATCCAGTTTATATGCGAATGATCTTCTTCACAGATACATCCAACCATACGACTATCAAATGCACTTGGTACCAGATTTGGACATTCTTTTGTGCCAGGTCCACGTTTTGTAACGTTCAAGTTAAAAGGATCCTGAGAATATGACAAATGACCTACTCAATGTATTTGGAGGAGAATATACAAAAAATAATCAATACAATTTTAATAGATAACAACGTCAAATAATATTCACGCAAATAATACAAGTATGTAATACATTAATGAAATAATAATATAGAGTGAAAATAATAGAGATCATATTTGAAATCATATATACTGACGTAAATGACAAGAACTTACTTCATCGCCAGCGGCTATAGCAAGTTTTTCTCGTTTTTCTATTCCCGTTGCATGTTCCAATGGATCAGCACACTCTGTAAATGACACGATAAATTTGACTATATCTACATTATCGTCGGACAAGACAGTAAAGCTCATACTTTGAGAACTATCAATATATTACGTAATTAAGAAATATCTAAAGTGGAGAAAATATAATCGGTTTAAAATTGAAAAGTAGATTTAAATGGATTACCTCGTTTGATATATCTTGGTGCACTGTAAGATATCGAACGTCGACATGTAAGTAGAATCGCACGCCCATAAGAACATGCCATTTTGCAAACTTTTGTTAAATCCTACCGTATACTTTCCTCTTTAACGCCTTGGACCGAAAATGAACGACCTGGTCCAACTATGAAATAAAAAAAGATTGGCAACCTTATACACCATAGGTCGACCACCGATATTGGCGCCATTGACAGTGGTAGGAAAATCGTACTATGCTTGATCCGTTGTAAACTAACCGTTGCAAGCTCACGTGTTAAAAAAGGGCGCCAATTTGAAATTTGAAATTGAAAATTCGTTGTGTTAGAAACGCGGGAAAAATAATGGCGTTCCTTACCTATGGAAACGTTCGTTAAATCTCGAAAGAAAATAAATATCTCAAGAGATATATTTATTAATATAATTTAGTATTTGAATGTAAGCGATGGAAAATACGCTTTTTTTTCCTATTAGTTAGATGTTCTATCGCATATTATTTACAGAGCTTTACCCTTCTGTCACATGAAAGACCGATGTACCAACTATAGTTCTACGTAACTTGCGCCAGTGAGCGACGGGTGAGCGACTCCTTCGGACGATTGGTAAAAAGACTAATTAAAACAATTAACTCTGTGTTTACAAGCTTTCATTTGTATTTAATATAATAATAGACCCACGATAATTACATTATTTAGATTTCAATAGCGAATATCAAATAGTATACGACATTACATTCAATGGAAATTTGCGCGTAGTTCTATAAAACGATTTAAGATAATATTATTATAGATGTTTAATCAATTTTCAATTCTTACAAGCAGCACGATAATCTTCTACGATAGAATATCTCTTCAAGGACCTTAATAAGAAGATATTTAATACTTTTGCCTCTGAATCTTGAGAAAAAGAAGAAGAAATTATTTCTTTTAAAATGGATAAACCAGTTTCGTCGGATATCGTTTTAATAGCGGGTAATTCACATCCAGAGTTGGCTAATCTAATCGCCAAGTAAGTTATATTTTAATCAGTTTTACATTTCCATCTTTTTACGTAAGAGATAATTATGTTCTCTTGATTAACTACATTACTTTATCGTAATTGGATATATTCCCAAAATTAATTATCATATAAAATACTTATGTTTACACAATTTGATAAACAAAAATTCTTACATTAAAGTATTTTTCGTCCTTTTTTTTTTTTTTTATATCTTTAAGTCGTCTTGGTGTAAAGCATGGTGGATGTTCCGTATACCATAAATCGAATCGTGAAACTATGGTTGAAATAAGTGATTCTGTGCGAGGTAAAGATCTATATATAATTCAAACTGGTACAAAAGATGTTAATAATAATATAATGGAGCTCCTGATCATGGCATACGCGTGTAAAACATCATCAGCAAAAAATATTGTCGGAGTAATTCCTTATTTACCTTATTCTAAACAATGTAAAATGCGTAAGCGTGGTTGTATAGTTTCCAAACTCTTAGCAAAGATGTTATGCAAAAGCGGATTAACGCATATAATTACTATGGACTTGCATCAAAAAGAAATCCAAGGCTTTTTTGATGTTCCTGTAGATAATTTAAGAGCCAGTCCATTTTTATTACAATATATTCAAGAATCTGTGAGTACGATTTCTGTTATATTTAAATATTTTCTTCCATAGCTATATTCTTCTTCTTTACGTTGGATCAATAATAATGGGATATCTATTACTTCATATTCTATATTCCTGCCATTATTAGATACCTGATTATCACAATTCTGTAATCGTTGCAAGAAATCCAGGAAGCGCAAAAAAAGCAACTAGCTATGCAGAAAGATTGCGTCTAGGAATAGCAGTTATACACGGAGAACAAAGAGAGGCCGAATCGGATATGAACGATGGACGTTATTCTCCACCAGCACTAGCTTCAAGAACGATGGAGGTAGGCGTGGGTGTACCTATGCATCCTGCTAAAGAAAAGCCTCCGATCAATGTTGTAGGAGATGTGGGAGGACGCATTGCCATTATGGTGGTAAGAAGATATTCTACAAATTAATACGTATATACTTAACTTCTTATAATTATATATTTATTTTCATTTCATTAGGATGATATGATAGATGATGTACAATCTTATGTAGCTGCGGCTGAAGTACTTAAGGAAAGAGGTGCATATAAAATCTATGTGTTAGCCACTCATGGTTTGCTCAGTTCTGATGCACCTAAACTTATCGAAGAGTCACCAATTGACGAGGTAATGAATTCTTCTGCATTTCATTTTAACAAAGTCGAATCTTTTAATAGCATAAGAAACATTTACTGTGTGACAAACTAGTTGGATTTTAATATTTTTCTCAGGTTGTTGTGACCAATACTGTACCTCATGACGTACAAAAAATGCAATGTCCAAAAATCAAAACTGTTGACATAAGCATTTTACTAGCCGAAGCTATTCGGCGCATTCACAACAAAGAATCTATGTCTTATTTGTTTAAAAATGTTACATTAGAAGATTGAAAATGTGTAGATATTTGTATAATTTACAATAAAAAATCTAAATTTAGCAAAAACATAAAATTCAATTTCAATTAAATGGCTGAATACTTCATATTATTCAATATTGGGATAATGTAAAACATATCTACGTTTTAATTGTGCATACTATTTTTATAACTCACAAATTATTTCTTAAAAAGGATGAAATATTTTAATTACCAACAGATGTAAGTTTATTTCTTACACTTGATATTTCTAAAATTTGATAAAATATTGTAAAAGTTCAAGAATTATAAATTCGATATACGAGATAAAAGGTATGCTACATAATGTAATTTATATTTTTTAATTTAATCACTCAACCTGAGCAAATTTCTAATTTATTATTTACTATCCATGAATGGAATTATTATATAGTTTTACCCATAAAGTCAGAATATATTTCATTTAAACAGATATCATTTTCAAAAACTAATTTGGTATAAATGTTGTTTAAATCGTGTTAAGAAGAAATGACATAATTACTGACTTGTGTAAAACATGAAAGTATTTTTATGTTTGCCATATCACGCTTATGTTAATAATGTTATTCATTTTACATTATTAGAAAATATTATGTATTTTATTATCCAAAATGAATAAATGTCTATTATTGAATTAAGATTCTGGGTTTAACATGTATACGTAACAATGTAAAGAATTGCTGCATGTTGCGATTTGTGTATGTGGTAGAGAGAAATCAGTAGTTCAATACATACGCCTGTAACCATGGTAATAATTGCTGTCCTACGAGATTATATTTATCATCTTCATTTGATACCTATTTTTTAAATATAGTTTGAAGCTGAATATAAGCAAAAGTTTCTAATTGAAAACTAATAAGAAAATATTAGAAATAAAAGAATATTATTGAAAGAGAAATGTCACTGGAAATTGAAACTGAAACTGAAGCTGGTTTAAATAGAATTTGTTTGTTATTACAAGCTGAGAATAAGGAAAGAAGAAAGCATGTTTTGAACGAAATTCTAAAGGCAATATTTGAAAGAGAAGAAATCCTGGATACTGATAATTTATTAAAAATATGGGAAAAATTAAATAGACCATTGATTAGATTGTTAAATGACCAAGCAGAAGTTTGTCGAGATCGTGCCGTAGAACTGTTAAAGAAGTTTTTGAATTCATTGCCTCCTCATGACAAACATATTATTTATGTGATTCCAGTATTGTCAAGACGCTTAAGTCCAGAAGAATATATAGAACCATCTGAAGAAGTAAGGCTAAAATGTATTACTCTCTTAAAAGTTATTATTTTAAAATATAAAGACCATATTTCTGTATATATGGATGAGATAACAGGAATTCTTGCAAGAACTGTTAGGGATAAATATCCCAACGCTAAAAGAGAAAGTTGTGAATGTATATCAGAATTAGGAAAAACTGTATCTAGGCATTTTTATACCTATTCTGAAACTCTAATAAAACCAATATTAAGTAATTTTAGTCATCAACATTATAGAGTCAGAGTAGCTTCTGTTAAAACAATTGGTGATGCTATTCAATACGGTAATAGCAAATCTATAGAAGAAATTGCAACACCTTTAGCTGAAAGACTCTTTGATCAAAGTGGAGTTGTTAGAGCAGGTAACATTTTAATATATTACGCACATACGCACAATTAATAATAATAATTTGTTTCGACAATAATACATCATAATTAATGACTGTATAAAGCTGTTATAGAAGTAGCAGGACATTGGCTAGTAGAGTTAAGAGATAGATACAGTTGGTGGCATAAAATTCTTCCACTTATTTTAACGGGTTTTTATGATGAAATAGAAATGATACGTATTTCGGCAGCAAAAATGTGGGACAAAGCAGGTCAATTGTATATAAAAGAAAATCAAAGTGACGAAAAGTTTAAAGATAAAATGGACTTTCTCGTAGAGAAACCAAAACATTATCCACCTAATAGTATGTTTTCAGTTAAACATATACAGTAATGTAACATAATATTCATTGAAACATTGTTTTTTCAGTTACCAGACCAAATTTAGGATGTCGTACTATAGTTCAAGAAAATCTATGTAAACTTGTTAATGGAATAACACGTGAACTTGATGACTGGATGGCTGATATAAGACTTCGTTCAGCACAATTACTTAGCGTTTTAATACTAAACGCAGAAGAATACGTAACTCAACATATAGAAAAATTATTACCAGCAATTTATAGGTATATAAAACATTTTCTTTACTTAACTATTATATTATTGTTTAATTATATTTTTACTATTTTTTTTTTTTTTTTTTTTTTCTAACAGAGCTTGCAACGATGAAGATAAAAGAGTTGTGGATAATATAGAAATTGCAGCAGAATATTTAGGATACTTTGTACCTCCACAAATTTATTGTCATTTAGTATTGCCAATGTTGGAAAACTCACCTACAGCAGGTCATTTAAGAGCATTTTCTGCTATTATAAGATGTACAGAAAAAAATATTCTTTTACCCCATATAGAAAAAATCAGCAATTTCTTACAACAATCACATATTAGCCGTAGCAAAAAACGTATTTACCAGCAACAACTTTTATCTTGCTGCGATTCTCTTTTAACAGTATGCAACAAGGTTTGGCTTTTCTCTTAAACTTATTTATTTCTATTAAATTGATAACATCATAGAGAAAACCAATGTTTCAGGAATGCGTCCTTATTTCCGAGAATTTATTTACTGTCATATTTACTTGTCTGGCTATGAGTACAGAGAAGTTTATTTCCAAAGAAGCAGATCGATTATTTGATGTGCTCGCAAGCATAGAATCGTTGAAAAATACAGAAGATCTGTTTCTTCATCATATGAGAGCAATACTAATGTCTATTTGTAATAATTGTGATTCGTGGACAACACATAGTCCAGAACATCAAATATTTCGAACATGTTTAATACGTACTTCGATCGCTGCTGCTAATTATATGGATATTGTGCTACCGATACTACAGGATATTATGACCAAAAATACAGACATGGAATTGCGATTGTTATATTTAATATTACTATCTGAATATTTGTTATGCAACAAGCAATCTCTCCGATGCATCATAGATTTTGCTAAATTTGTAAATGAAATTTTAGAAATATGCATTATTCCTAATCTCATTTGGTCAGCAGGTAGAATATCTGAAGCATTACGTACAGCTTCTATTTCATGTTTGTGTGCTCTTCTACAAAATGATATTCATTCCACGCATGTCAAAGATTCTATTGCTATTGTTAATGAAGAAATAGACAAGGAAACGAGTGAATGTAAAATCACAATATTTTCTACCATAGAAAATTATTTATCCATTTTCGATAGAATTATTCCTATTTTGATTACGCTTGTCGATGATAATATGAAAAAAACTAGGCTTTATTCTTTGCGTGCTATTTATTATATGATGTCAATTGGACATAAGTTGTCTTGCATAAAAGAAGATCATATTCATAAAGTATCCACGAGTGTATTGAAAAGATTAGATGACGGTTGCGATGAAATACGATGGGCAGCTCTAGAAGCTCTTGTAGAAGTATGGTTTACTATTCCACAAGATTACAATATAATTTGTTGTAAAAGTTATATAGATTCCCTCTATACAACAGTATTGATACACCTAGACGATCCGGAACCAAAGTTTCAAAATTTTGTATTGGGTAAATATTCCGCTTTATAAAATCTTCTAATATATTTTTATTTTGAAAAAAAATAATGAATATTATATCTCTTTTTCAGATGTATTGATACACTTGGCAAGGATTTACCCTGAATTATTGGTTGAAAAGTTAAAAAACTGTCAAACAAACTTTAGAAACCAAACTGGTATAGAAATAATCTTAAGTCATTGTCACGAATTGTTAAAAAACAATTAATAGACATATACTGAATACTTTTTAAACTTTGTTGACCGTGGAATAATGTTTAAAAAGTACGTGTAATTTATTCAGAATAATAAAATTTGTCACTTAAGTAGGAAGGAAAAAAAAACTCAATAAAATAAAAAAAAAATTCGATAAAATTTACGCGTGCACACATTTTGATTTATCACATATATTAAAAAAGTGTTGCTTTTATATATTATACCACTAATTATTTAAAAAAGATTTTATTTGCACGTAAATTTACGTGATTATCTTATTGAATTAGATATTGTTGGAAGAGAAAAATAACCTCTTTCTAAGAGATAACAGGAAGTACCCGCCCTGTTAGTTGTCGCCATGTTGTTCGTATCTTCCGCTTGCCAAAGCCCAAAGCAGCGAGAAGAGGGGTAGGACAAATAAGATTAATATTCGTCGCTAATACCAAATAGCCTTTTTTTTTTGGAAACGAATCAATTATAGTGTTATTCATTTGTTCAACAATCAAACTATTCGGTAAGTATGAATAATTGAATTAGGTCGAATATACTTTTCTCCAGGAAAACTATATTGCCATAGAGTATACGCTTATCAATCGAGCAAAACAGTTGATTTGCATTTTGTCTTCATCGTTATTTTTCTTTTTTATCAGTATAATATTGATGTACATATTTGGAAGCGATTGTTATTTAATCATATAGTTGTCCGGTTCTTCTCATTTCAATGATTATTACATATTGGTACGATCTTCGTCAGCGTATGATAAGTTGAACGATATACATACTTTCTTTCTTAGTTCGTTAAGATCAAATTTAAGCATTCTAAAAATATTCGGTGATTCCATAATATATATATTTCGTCTATGCGTACACGTCTCTCTGTGTACACCCATGTACACGCAAATATATATTACTTAAATTCATGGATCTTTTTATAGTAATAGTATTCTATCTTTTAATGAGAGCACTATTAGTACAAAGATTTCCAAAATGAAAAATCTTTTATTCTAATATATTACACCATTATATATATATATTATTGTATTGTAATTTTAGCAATGTCCGATGCTACTACTGATCACGTGGATGTCGTGGAGGATGAATTGGAAGTCGAATCAAATTATAAACCTCCTCCAGAGAAGACGATTGAACAAATTTTAGAAGCGGATAAGGAAGATG